CGGAGGTGCACGGGATGCCGCACAACGGGCACATCATCAACGCAGCCGAGCCGTATTGGTCGATTCCGTGTATGGAGAGGAGATGATCCCTTAACGAGGCCAACGCGGAAAACTTGATCGTGCATCGATTGCACGCGAACGGACCGTTTTCGTACTGCTCCTTCTCCGTCGTGCCGCGCTTTCTTTCGTGATCCGCGGACGTGCCGGATCCCTCGAGCCGCTCCGAGGACGATTTGTCCGCGCGGTGATAACCGACCAGTTGCTCGCCGCTTCCGTTGCCCGACGGGGAAACGGTCGCGACGCTCTCGCCGTTCAGGATCGCGCGATGCATCGTGTGCACGTGCATCTGAAGCTGCTGCATGCAGCTGAACGAGTCTCTGGTACAGTACATGCAGGCCAACTTGAGAGGAGAGGTTAAGATCGGGGTGGTCGAGCAGCTACCCTGAGAGCTTTTCAATCCGGACTTTGGATTCGGAGCAAGGTTCAAGGACGGCGACGGAGAACTCGCTACCGGAGGCGAGGACGTACTGTGCGAGGAGACGCTCCTTCGTCCGTGATCCGCCTCTTGCGGTTGCAATTTCTTCGTTCCCTGGGACTGATGATGCTTCTTGTGCGATTGCATATGGGATGTCAAGGCTGCCGCTGTATTGTAACCTCTCGAACAGGCCGTACACTGGTAGGGCTTCTGGGTATCGTGCGTTTTCATGTGGATCTTGAGGTGATCGCTGAAAATCGTTTAAATCAGGCATATTTTTTTTTCTTTTCTTTTTCGCGTCATTGGCAAATACGTTCGGTGGCGATACGAAACAACGAATTTCGAAGGAGAAGAGCGGCGAGCGACGAGAGAGAGAGACTCGAAAGAGGATCGTTCCAACGGTGACAAATGACTAATGATCGTAACAAGACCGCGATCCCGCGATCCCGCGCGTCCCCGCGGCTCGCATTAGTCAAGCTTACTCTCTTACGTGACTTCTCTTTCAGCTCTTTTCCCTCTCCGTCCGTTGATTCAACCGAACGCGCGCGACCCCTTTTCCTATCTTTATTTCTCTCTTTTCGCTCGCGTATTGAAATGGTAAGCTGGTTCGAGAGCTGCCGGTAGGGTGGCGCGAGTCTTTCCTGCTCGACACGAGAGGACCCCTCTCCGAACACGTAGGAGAAACGAGTCCTTGTTCAGCCGAGTGGACAGGTAGGCGCGCATAGGTGTTACGGGACAACAGGTAGAACATTAGTCAAGTGGTTGGTTGTTGCTCGTCCCTAGACTACATCGCCTTACGTCGCGGTCGAGACTTTTCGACGAGAACCTTTTCGCGGCCCCTTATCGCTAATATTTTCCCCTTATCTGGCCACGATTCCCGTTTCGGTAGGCGGCTAAAGTCTGGCTCGTCTCGGCGAATCTCGTCGGGCACCGGTTACCGCCTTCGATCCGATTCGACTTGACGCGAACGAAAGGCAAAGTCGTAACAGAGACTTAACCTGTCAGCCATTATTATAATCGGCTTTCCGGATCTTTACGCCACGTCTCTATTCTCGTTCTCCCACCTTGACGGTCGGCTTTTGGCTTGGGTGAGCCAACAAAAGGGTGAAAACCCCCGTGGTTCTCGCATACATCTCGCGCAACCATGGGAGGGATTCGACCGAATACGAGTCCGATCGATCGTTGTTCGTGCATCGTCCAGCGGCACGAACAATTTTTCCTCTTATTTCGATAAAGATCGTAACTCGGGAGATATCTCTTTGGGGGGG